ACTGTTCCATGAAATAGAAAGGGAAGGAAAACTGCCAAACACATTTTATGAAGCCAGTATTACACTTATCCCAAAACCAGGCAAAGACACCTCCAAAAAGGAGAACTATAGGCCAATCTCCTTAATGAACATTGATGCAAAAATCCTCAACAAAATAATGGCAAACGAATTCAGCAACACATCAAAAAGATTATTCACCACGACCAGTAGGCTTCATCCCAGGGATGCAGGGGTGGTTCAACATACGAAAATCAATAAACGTAATAAACCACATTAACAGAAGCAAAGACAAAAACCACTTGATCATCTCAATAGATGCAGAAAAAGCCTTTGATAAGATCCAACATCATTTCATGATAAAAGCTCTAAGAAAACTAGGAATAGAAGGAAAGTTCCTCAACATTATAAAAGCTATATATGACAAACCTACAGCCAGCATTATACTTAACGGAGAAAAATTAAAACCATTCCCTCTAAAATCAGGAACCAGACAAGGATGCCCACTATCTCCACTCCTATTCAACATAGTACTGGAATTCCTAGCCAGAGCAATTAGGCAAGAAGAAGGAATAAAAGGAATACAAATAGGTAAAGAAACTGTCAAAATATCCCTATTTGCAGACGACATGATCCTATACCTTAAAGACCCAAAAAACTCTACTCAGAAGCTTCTAGACATCATCAATAGCTATAGCAAGGTAGCAGGATATAAAATCAACATAGAAAAATCATTAGCATTTCTATACACTAACAATGAGCAAACGGAAAAAGAATGTATGAAAACAATTCCATTTACAATAGCCTCAAAAAAATCAAATACCTAGGTGTAAACCTAACAAAAGATGTGAAAGACCTCTACAAGGAAAACTATACACTTCTGAAGAAAGAGATTGAGGAAGACTATAGAAAGTGGAGAGATCTCCCATGCTCATGGATTGGTAGAATCAACATAGTAAAAATGTCATACTCCCAAAAGTAATCTACATGTTTAATGCAATTCCCATCAAAATTCCAATGACATTCATTAAAGAGATTGAAAAATCTACTGTTAAATTTATATGGAAACACAAGAGGCCACGAATAGCCAAGGCAATACTCAGTCAAAAGAACAATGCAGGAGGTATCACAATACCTGACTTCAAACTATATTACAAAGCAATAACAATAAAAACAGCATGGTACTGGCACAAAAACAGACATGAAGACCAGTGGAACAGAATAGAGGATCCAGATATGAAGCCACACAACTATAAGCAACTTATCTTTGACAAAGGAGCTAAAAATATACGATGGAGAAATAGCAGCCTCTTCAACAAAAACTGCTGGGAAAACTGGTTAGCAGTCTGCAAAAAACTGAAACTAGATCCATGTATATCACCCTATACCAAGATTAACTCAAAATGGATCAAGGATCTTAATATCAGACCCCAAACTCTTAAGTTGATACAAGAAAGAGTAGGAAATACTCTGGAGTTAGTAGGTATAGGTAAGAACTTTCTCAATGAAACCCCAGCAGCACAGCAACTAAGAGATAGCATAGATAAATGGGACCTCATAAAACTAAAAAGCTTCTGTTCATCAAAAGAAATGGTCTCTAAACTGAAGAGAACACCCACAGAGTGGGAGAAAATATTTGCCAACTATACATCAGACAAAGGACTGATAACCAGAATATACAGGGAACTTAAAAAACTAAATTCTCCCAAAACTAATGAACCAATAAAGAAATGGGCAAGTGAACTAAACAGAACTTTCTCAAAAGAAGAAATTCAAATGGCCAGAAAACACATGAAAAAATGCTCACCATCTCTAGCAATAAAGGAAATGCAAATTAAAACCACACTAAGATTCCACCTCACCCCTGTTAGAATAGCCATCATCAGCAACACCACCAACAACAGGTGTTGGCGAGGATGCGGGGAAAAAGGAACCCTCTTACACTGTTGGTGGGAATGTAGACTAGTACAACCACTCTGGAAAAAAATTTGGAGGCTACTTAAAAAGCTGGACATCGATCTACCATTTGATCCAGCAATACCACTCTTGGGGATATACCCAAAAGACTGTTACTCCAGAGGCACCTGCACATCCATGTTTATTGCGGCACTATTCACAATAGCCAAGTTATGGAAACAGCCAAGATGCCCCAGCACTGACGAATGGATTAAGAAAATGTGGTATCTATACACAATGGAATTTTATGCAGCCATGAAGAAGAACGAAATGTTATCATTCGCTGGTAAATGGATGGAATTGGAGAACATCATTCTGAGTGAGGTTAGCCTGGCCAAAAGACCAAAAATCGTATGTTCTCCCTCATATGTGGACATTAGATCAAGGGCAAACACAACAAGGGGATTGGACTATGAGCACATGATAAAAGCGAGAGCACACAAGGGAGGGGTGAGGATAGGTAAGACACCTAAAAAACTAGCTAGCATTTGTTGCCCTTAATGCAGAGAAACTAAAGCAGATACCTTAAAGCAACTGAGGCCAATAGGAAAAGGGGACCAGGAACTAGAGAAAAGGTTAGATCAAAAAGAATTAACCTAGAAGGTAACACCCACGCACAGGAAATCAATGTGAGTCAATGCCCTGTATAGCTATCCTTATCTCAACCAGCAAAACCCCTTGTTCCTTCCTATTATTGCTTATACTCTCTCTACAACAAAATTAGAGATAAGGGCAAAATAGTTTCTGCTGGGTATTGAGGGGGGGAGCGGGAGGGGGTGGAGTGGGTGGTAAGGGAGGGGGTGGGGGCAGGGGGGGAGAAATAAACCAAGCCTTGTATGCACATATGAATAATAAAAGAAAAATGAAAAAAAAAATAGTAGCTGTCTTGACTCTCTTTGCAACTAAGCTACATCCTTTTGCTAATATGAACTGCTACTTTCTAAAGAGACAAATAATTCTAACACTCTAAATCTAGTTTGTTGAAGCTCATACTGCAGCTGGATGAGAGTATACATGCCTACAATCCCAGCACACAGGATACTGAGACTGGACAATCATGAATTTGAGGCTGGCCTGTTTTTGTTTTAAGTTTTTCATTATCATATTATTGTTGTAGTGGGTGTACATTGTGACATTTGCAAATGTTCTTACAATATATCTAGTTAAATTTGCCCCTCCATCATTCTCCTTTATCTCCTCTCCCCCTAATACTAAATAATTTCAGCAGGTCTTATTTTTCCATTTACATACATGAGTACATAATATTTCCACTATATTCACCCCCTTCATCCTTTCCTTATATCCTCCCCCTCCCCATTGGTACCATTATCCAGACAGGACCTGTTTTACCTTCCTACATAGCGAACTATAAAGTAAGACTGTCTCAAAAAAAATTATGCTTTTAAAACAGGGAATAAACATAATTGAGACTTAAATTTGGGACTGGATCAGTGTGCAGACACAACCTCAGGGAATTAAAGTAAGGATCAAGGTAGCTAAGGATGCATATCTAAGGCCAGGAACTCAAAGAGAGAGACAGGAAGCTACCTGGGAGAGCTCTACCTGCAGCATGGAACACCAGGACACAAGGAGAGTCTGTTGCTTTAGTTGGGTCTAAAGCAGAATAAAGGGGGTGGGGAAGAGGGTGGGGGAGGGGGACAGGGGGGAGGAATGACCCAAACAGTGTATGCACATGTGAATAAATAAATTTAAAAAAAAGAGCAGAATAAATTCAATGTTGTCCAAAGTTAGTCCTTTACCCTTCCAACTTTTGTGTTTAAAGAGCTGGTCTGTATTTCCCTTTGGTATTGGCTTTGAGAAGCCAGGACAACCTGTAATGTTGGCAGATTTAAATCTGGGTGGGATACGAGGTGCTTATGTCCTCTAGACACTGTCAACTGCAAGGACAGGCTGTCTCCGCTTCTGCCTGCTCCTCAGGGTCTTACCTTTTGTGGTGGGGAGGGCAGTACTACTGCCTGACGCTTGCTTGGTGGGTGCTCTACTGCTTTGGGCTACACCTCCTCGTCCTGTTTTGCTTTCAGTTATTTTCCAGGAAGGATTTCCCATTTTTGCCTGGGTCAGCCTTGAACCATGATCCTCCTGTCTATGCTTCTACATCACTGGTATTACAGGCATGAACCACCACACCGGGCCAGTACCTACCTCTTTGAGACAGGAGCCTACCTCACTTTGTAGGACCTACTGCTATTTTTTCAGCTTGTCCTTCACCTTCTGGGTCATTGCAGCATAACACATGATTATGTGTCCATCATTTGTTCCTCTGAGGTGAAAATCAAGACATAAAAGGAAAATCTTCAGAGTACCACTTTATTTTTCCATATGATATAGGGCACACACTTCTGCTAATAACATTCTATATTACTTGAAACCACATGAGCTATTTAGAGGGACCTCTTGGAGTGAATTGATAGTGAAATAATGCATTTGGGTAAAGAGATACTTCTTTTGACATACTATGTCAGAACTTACCCATAAAAATTAGTATGGTGGCTCCATAATAGTAGGAGCTTGAGAAGACTTTGATTCTACTAAAAGCATCCCTGGGGCTCTCCTCCCACAAGTTCTGTGCTGCTGATTTCATAAGTAGAAAGCTGAGATACAACCCATTCAAAGGCCTAATTCAACTAAAAGACTGTCAGTCAATGTGGGTTCTGATTAGCTTATGGGAGCAAACTTGTTTGTAGAAAAATCCGTTCCTAGTTTTCTGGCTTGGATAGAGGAGGATCCTAAGAACAGATTCAAATTGACATTTCCCAGAAAGGCTGCAGATTAGAGCGCTAAGTGATAAAAATGTTCCTATATGGGCTAGGGATGTAGCTCGTGATAGAGTGCTTGTCTAATATGCTTGAAACCAGGGTTTGAAAAAAAAGCTTACTTAATGCTAAGCTCCACACTACTTAGTAGGAAGATATAGAAATCAAGTTAAAAATCCTAGGGAAGACAGTGCAGTCCATACAGACAATCTGTGGATAGAATCACTTCTCAACTCTCCAGTTACATATCTTCCTTTCCTTGCCTTCCCTCAGGCTCTGGCAGGCCCTCAATGGACATTATTGTGGATATTTTGGACAGCGAAGAATGTTTGATTTATCACAAACAACCGACTTCATTTTGCCTTGTGATGTTACTGAATGTCCAATAGAAATAAAAGAAGAAAGCAAGTTCACAGAGAAGAAGCAAAAATACGAATATCCTCTGATATTTGACCGGGAAAGGTAAGACCATTGCTTTTCCTTCAGATGAACAGACAAGAATTAAACAATTATGATAATGTAATACTGTGCTGCACATGAAGAATTCAAATATGAAAAGTCCAAAATTTTTCATATTTTGGAAGGAGGGAGAAATATACAAATGAAAACTGTAATCCACTGTAGTAGTACTTCTGGGAACATCTAATTTTTAATAACCAAAGGGGAAGTAGAGTATAATCAAAGAAGACCAAAAGGACCTTGCCTAAGCAAAGGCACCAAATAATGATTGACTATATGGTTTTTTAATCTTGGAGTCCAGAAAGAAAGAGAGAGAGAGAGGATGGAGGGAAGGAAGGAAGGAAGAAAAGGCAGGGGGAAGAAAAGAAAGGAAGGGAGGGAGAGAGGGAGTAGGAAAGAAAGAGAGAAAGAATTAGAGAAGGACCCACTTGTAGAAAGAATGAGAGAGAGAGAGAGAAAGAAAGAAAGAAAGAAGAAAGAAAGAGAAAAAAGGAAAGAAGGAAGGGAAGAAAGAAAGAAAAAGGATTAGAGAAGGCCCCATTTGTAGAAAGAGAGAGAGAAAGAAAGAAAGAGAAAGAGATAGAAGAAAGGAAGGATGGAAGGAAGGGAGGAAAGAAAGAGAAAGGATTAGAGAAGGACCCATTTGTAGAACTGGGGAGTGACAATAGAAAAGTACACACGTACACACTTGACATGACAAGGAGACTGATGACTATGGGGGGTAGATTTTCAGTGGATTATGGGAGAAAAGCATATGGCTGAGAAATAAGAAGATACAAGGTGAGGACAGAGTGCTTTTTAAATTTTAATTGCATAATTCTGTGGGGTGCAGGGTCACATTTGATAATTTATATGGTAACGATCAAAGCAGGGTAACTGATTACTTTGATTTTCCCTGTCCTTAAGCATTTTTAAAAGTTTATTAACATGTAATAATTGTATATATTTATGTAGTACATTGTGATTTTTCAATATATGTATCTAATCAGATACATAAGATGTTCCATCTTCTTCTTATTACTTTGTATTTGGAACCTTCAAAGTTATTGTGAATAAAAATCAATTGTTTTATATAATAGAGATCATTAGAAGACTGAGAAAGTGTGGGGGGAGGCGGGATAACTGGTACCAACAACTCATAGTACAGCTTTCGCTTTTTAAAGAAGGCATACACCTCTAGAGTTGAAGAAGACTTTGTTTCATGGGTTTGCTTATTTTTTATGGAAGACTTGAGGCATAAAGAAGAGAAAAACTTTCCTCCCATATAGAATGAGAAGAAGCTTTGTGCTTTTGCAAATTCCAGTCCTCTTTGGCTATGGTCAGACCTTTGTTACAGGGGAAGAGACTGGTGGTCACCTGAGCTCTCCATATCAGCAGAGCTCAGCCTTCAATAGTGAGGGTCTAACATGTCTAGCCCTGGGGAGGCCAGACTCGCCTAGACTGGAGATGACCCAGCAAATCAGAACCTGGACAGACAACTGGATGATTGTCAACTGGGAAGCACCACAGGGATTGTCAAAGACAAAGTCCTCTCAAGGAATCCTAAACGAACCAAAGCTGGGAGACCCAATGCCATTAATGCAAAGGATTGTAGAAAGGCTGTAAATAGGAACAGAATCTAAGAGTCAGAATCTACACAAAATTAAAGTACAAGTCCAAACATGGTAACAACCAAGAAGGGCTCCAGGCGACTGCAGAGACGCCACTGGGGTGGCCAGTTAGGAGCAAATGAGAAGGTGGCTGGCTCAAATGTAAGAAGTGGGCTTGCAGAGCCGAGCCTCATCAAGATGTGGCCAAGTTCACCAAGAAAATTTCACCCAAGTTCATCTTTTGAGTAACTGCTTAGTTTTGAACACCCATGTGTCTCCATCCTTAAGGCAATGTATTCTAATTTGTGAATGTGTGTCTTCTTCACTCTATTATTAGACCTTTGAGGATTAGGAACTTGTTTGATACATTGTATCCCTAGTTTGTAGCTAAGTGCCAGCACCCTGAAGGCACTCAAAAGATATTTGTGAAGCAAATACATAATCACTAATGGAGAAGGTACAAGCAGGGGGACAGTTGTAGATGGTAGATATGGAAGGATGGAAGGGGGTGGTATGTTTAAGATAGCTTAACTGAAGGATTAACTGCTCAGATTGTCTTATTGCTAAACAATTTTGCTTCTCGGTAGCAACATGGGCATCTCAGGTCATATTATTTATTGTCTTTTAAAATGCTTTTAATGCTTAGTAATGACATCGTAAATATACCTAAGTAAGTTTCAACTATCGAGGAGGCCTCCCTAGGTCAAATGTAAGTCAAGCATTGAATGTATTAAAGAGTTTGCCCCATGCGCACTATGCAGCCATTGAAGAATTTATTTATAAGGAATATTCAGGCAGAATAGTAATTGCTGTGTTTCCCTGGAGGAAAATCTGGGAAGCTAAGTAGATTAAGAATTAGGTAGAAGAAGAGCATCATTGGGACTGGTGACATGAGAAGCCAGGGAATTTGGGGACCACAGAGGAAGCACATAGCAGATATTCGCTTAGTTGGTAGAGAATGAAGGGTGTACAGGTATGTACCTAACATTTTTCTTGTATCTTTATGTGTAGGTGGACAAAAATGAGCTCAATGTCATTGCTTTTCAAACGTGCACCTCCCAAGGCCTTTGAAGTGGAACATGATTTTAAGTATTTCAAGTCTCTTTCTTCCCCTAAGGTAGCTAAAACAAACAAACAAACAAAAACAAAAAACTTCACTGTCTGAATGCAAATAGTATATCAGTTTCTATTGCTGCTGTTACAAATCACCACCAATTTGGCAGCATAAGCTACATAAATTAGTATTGTACAATTCTGTAGATCAGAAATCTGACGTAAGACTCAATGGGCTGAAATTAAGGTGTCGCCAGAGCTGCCTTTCTGGAGGCTCCAGAGGAGTCCGTATTCCTTAGTTGAGGTCCCTTCCTTCATCTTCGAGGCCAGAAACGCTGCATCTCTCTGACCATGTAGTCACTTGGCCTCTGACCCAGCAGGATACATTCTCTGCTTTTAAGAATCATATGATTAAACTAGACACACTTAGATAAGCCTGGAAATCCCTTTGCCTCAACATGCTTACCATTAGAAATGTCTGCAAAATCCCTTTTGCTGGGTTTGTCTATAAGCAGTAATCACAGGATGGGGTCCTTAGGGTGCAGGCACCTTTGGTAGCTATTATTCTACCTCCATAGGTGCCAAATTAGGACTGTATGTGTGGCTCAAGTGGTAGAGTGTCTGCTTTGCAAGTGGGAAGCCCTGAGTTCAAACCCCAGACCCAACAAAAAAAGAAAAGGTAAAAATATTGGTTGACAAAAAACATATAAGATAAAATTATGTAAATAAAAGAAAGAATTAAATCACAAAGTTCAGGATATTAATGTCTGAAAGGCAGATGAGCAGGAATGAGGCCAGGGAACCAACACCAAGGACCTCAGATCTGAGGTATGGTCCTAATGCGTGCAGCAGGCCAATGGATCCAGGAATGTTCCTCATGTCTTTATTCTTTTACAGTAGCCACATCATATTTAACGAATATTTAATATTTAATGATTTTCAAATAAAACAATTGTCAAAACCCTACCTTCCTGCCCAAATACAAGTCATCTGCCTCTTTTTCCTGAACACAGGGTGACAGGAAGTATAGTCACCAGACATGGAGTCTAACAGACTTTGGTGTGATTTTAAATATTTTCTTGCTTTTTTTAAAATGAAGTCCCTTAAAGAGTGGTGAAGATTGAGAAAATACTTGCCAGGTACATTTTAGGTTCTCAGCAAATTCTACTAACAAGTTCCACTTTTTCTGAGGGCCCCAGCCTCTCTAGTCTCTCATCACAGCTCATAACATTCTCACTTAGTATGTTCTACATTGAGTTAGAGTTCTTTGTGTCTTTGTCTTTACTTTTCACCCCCACCACTAAATCATATATTTTTTTTGTTTCTTGTTTTTTTTTTAATTGTTGTGGTGCTGGGGGTTGAACTCAGGTTTTTATACTTGCTAGGCAGGTGCTCAACCACTTGAGCCATGCCCCAGTTCATGCTGATTATTTTTGAGATAAGGTCTCACTGTATGCCTGAGCTATCCTAGACCACAATCCTCTTTTTTGTGCACCCCACATGGCTGGAATGACAGGCAAGAGCCACCATGCACAGTCATTGATTGAGATGGGGGTCTCGCAAACTGTTTCCCTGGGTTGGTCTTGAACCCATGATCCTCCCAATCACAGTCTCCCAAGTAGCTAGGATTACAGGCATGAGTTGTCACACCTGGCTAAATCATAAGCTTTCTATAGGCAAAGATCTGTACATTAACATACATTAGATGGTCAGCTTTGTGGAATAGGATCGAAATAGCACAACCTAGAAATAAAGGTTGGTACTCACTTTTAATATTCAATTTAGAGATAAGAAATCATTTTTACAGTAACAAGTGAAACACTACATAAATTCAGGGAAATCGTTAAATGGGTAATGGAACCCTTGAAACAACTGAATGCCCCAAACATCACCAGCCTTCTTCCTCAATTGGCTGGTAAAATAAAAAGCTTCAGGGCTAAAGTTGAGTTGAATGCATGCTACTTTGGGTTCTCTAATTTTCTTCAGCAATCTTGTTTTGCCCTTTCCTTTTCATTCTCATTATGCAATATTAATCCACTCACTTCTTTTCTGTTAATTTCCTTTTGTCAGACGATACTAAATGTTACATTTGAGTAACACCTTACCATGGTCTTTAATGTTCTTATTTGATTCTCGTAATTGTCAACAGGCAAGGAACTTGCCTAAGATGTACAGCTAGGAAATGAGAGTGGGGACGTGGGCCAGGTGTTTGCCCTGACAGAATGCGCCCTCTTCTGTAAATACTCATTGCTTTGTTTTGCAGACTCGCAGGTACGCCTTGGAAGGCTTCATGACTGAAAACAGAGAGGCAGGGATTGTTTTTGGTTCTTTGCCTATATACAGGGTAAGTCACAGGTTTCTAGGACTAGAGGGGTAACAGAACAATATGAAATCTCACTTCTCTCTTCTGACCGTGGGCTACCAAGCAAGGTTGGGGAAAATCACATAACCAGGCCCACTGATGCTTCCATAGACACATGGTGTTCAGTCCCAGGAGAGTCTCTGGTTTTGTGGAGCACAGTTCGAGTCACTCATCTGCCATTGCACATGGTAGGTATTTTGAGCTTTAGCAGCTACTTCCTCATCACCTTCATGATAAAATCCAGTGCCTTTGCCTGGCATACAAACATGTTATAATCTGGCCTCTGCCTAATCTGTTGGACCCCATTTTCCATCACCCTCTCTCCGGACCCTCCTTATACTCCTGACATGCCAGACAATTTGCCATACCATAAACATCACTGGTCCACCAGTCCTCTATTACTGTGCCCATGCTGCCTGTCTGCTCAGGATCCATTTGCCCCTTGTTTCCTTTCAAATCCCTACCTCCAACTCTGCTCCCAAGGTAACCTATGTTAAAGAACTAATTAATGAATCCAAGAAATAATAAAACAAATACCTAATATTTCAGCTTCATCGAACACATATCTTAAACATTACTTATCTTTTCCAATGACACACTCATTGTAATTGGTAAAGCCAACAGGTGATGCTAACAGTGACTATCAAGAATTAACACTGGGATGGCACATGCCTATAATTGGGAGGTTAAGGCAGGAGGAGCTTGAATTCAAGGCCAGCCTTGAACTACATAGCAAGACCCTGTCTCAGCCTGTTATCCTAGCTACTCAGGAGGCAGAGATCAGGAGGATTGCATTTTGAAGCCAGCCCAGGCAAATTGTTCATAAGACCTATCTCAAAAAAACCCAACACAAAAAAACAGGTCTGGTGGAGTGGCTCAGGTGGTAGAGCACATGCCTAGCAAGTGTGAAGCCCTGAGTTCAAACCCCAGTACCACCCCAAAAACAAAAAAAGACAAACAAAAACCCTGTCTCAAAAAAAAAAAAGAACAATGGGGGGCAGGGGTGTGGCTTGAAGCAAATGAACCTTCTCATCTGCATGCCCACCCTGAGCTCACATTACAGAAGTAACCACTTTAAGGATGTCTGAGTTGCTCTATTTATGACTTCTAGGTGCCAAGCCCCACTAGTCTAAGATTCCTTCCACTCATTGGTTCAGAAGCACAGAAGGAGTCAATAGATGGCATTTCAGGAAAGAAGAAAGGAGTCCATGTTCAACATGAGAAAGTAAGTTCCAATTCCACAGTGGACTCTAATTCCACAATCTACCCCTCTCTGTTGGGTTTTTAATTATTTCTCTGTTCCCAGAAACATTCTGGGCCTACTATTATTCCATCCTTATTTTTATGAATATTCCAGATGTATGTGTGTTTAGCTTGGCAAGATGAAAATCATGAATTTCCTGGATAGAGTAGGAGAAAAAAAATCCAACTGAACTTGCGACTCACAGTAAAAGAGGTTTTCCTACTGCTTCACAACAGAAATTCACGGAGTTGTTTTAGCAGCCAGGCAATTTGACACAACACAGCTGAGAAGCATGACCATTCTTGCTTTTTCATCTTCTTGTACCTATACAGGATGGAGCTATGACGTCAGTCAGTAGGCTCTGTCTCCCCAGCAAGAATTTTTTCCCATGTATTAACAGAATCAATACACAAAGTTTTTCACTTTACAAAGTATTTTTTATAAATGCTTCTGTTATTTCCACATTACATACAAAGAAAATGTTAGATTCATCTTAGAGTTGGAAAAAAGCTAGATCCTATAGCAAGGTCGAATGACTTACAAAAGATCACATACTAATTAGGAGCTAAGTTGAGATCTTCCACTCCAAGTTTCTTGCTCACTCTAGTAAACCACAATGGCCTGTGCACTTCCAATCTTCTCTCTCTAGTTCTAGAAGTTCAAATAGGCCTGACTTAATCTGGGATCATTTTTATATTCGTTAAAATAGGTCAAACATTAAGAGAAGACTTAGCTTGAAATCAGATTAGTAACAGAGAGGAAATGGTTTATTTCCTGCATCTAACTCAATAATAGATTACAAAGACAATGACAACAACACAAGTCATTTGAAAAAGCTGCTTTACTTAATTAACATGGAAATTTTCACCATAATTTTGATGGTTTTCTGCATGTAATGAGAATATAAATGATTCTGTTAATCAACACTGCCAATTCAAGTAAGAGCTTTTGGCAGCAGAGGGGTTTTCTACAAAAATAATATTTTCTTTTAATTATTTTAATGAAAGGATGAAACACCGTGGTACAAATAACCCCAAATTAAAAGATAATAAAAAATTATTTGTATTGGGTTTTATAATTCATCTATTTTATGCCCCATATTTGTATTCTTCTTTAAACTTTATCTCACATGATATGAAACATGTTTACATTTTCTTTCTTTTTTTGGTGGTATTGGGGTTTGAACTCGGGGCCTTATGCTTGCTAGGCAAGTGCTCTACCACTTGAGCCACACGCCCAGACCTATTGGTTTTTTTAGATAGTTTTTGAATAGGCTTTTGCATTTATGCCTGGGCCAGCCTGGACCTTATTTAAGCTTCCCACATAGATAGGATGACAGGCACACACTACTGTATCCAGTTTTTGTTGGTTGAGATGGGGGTCTCACCAACGTTTTGTCCAAGCTGGCCTCAAATCCCAGATAATTATGATTACAGGTGTAAATCACTGCACCCAGCCTTTACCTATGTTTTTCAAATAAATATTAAGTGACAGGAGGAATATAGACAAATACATTTTAAGCAACAATAGGAAGGCAATAAGAAATTTTAAATTAGCCATGAAGAGTTGGGGATATAGCTTAGTGGCAGCATGTTCTAAGGTCCTGAGTTCAATCCCCAGTACCACAAGAAAAAAATTAGTGATAGTTAATCTGCATAATGACTGATCTACACTCAGATAATCAGAAGTTGACTCTACTATAATTAATTTTACCAGATATCATAAAGAATAAAAAACTATTTGTCCAAACACAAAGGAATTTTAAATATTTTCTGTTCTCATAAATATTTTCTCTTCATCATTTTGATGTATAATTGATCACATATAAAGGCAAAGGAGATAGACATCTCCATTTGCTTACAGAAAAGGTGCCACAAACCCATGACTTAGAAATATCTTCTGATGCAATGAAGAAAAATTGTTAAACCTGGCCAGGGAGATGAAATTAGTTTCCAAAATAAAATTCAAATGAAATTTCTTATTTAGAAAATTGTGCCCTTAAAAGAAGACAATGAAATTTGGAAACTGGAACCGATTAAAGCCACCACTGTGTTGGGTGTCTGGAATGTTAGGATCCCAGACAGCCTATGTAATAAAATAGTGGGTGAAATATAATCAATAAATGAATATCAAATGCCTATTTTCATAAAAAGTATTTCGAGGAAAGTGGGCATGAAATGACCTCAGAAAGTGTCAAGATTTCAATTTAGTGAAATAAACATCTATGGAATACCACAATGTGCTCTGCATTATTCTCACTACCATAACCCATTCCTAGATCAAGGAACCCACCGTAGAGGCAAGAAAGTCCTCTGAGTGAGTTCAGTAACAGGTATCTCTATTTTGATTTCTATTTTTAAATAGTAAGTCATGCTGATTCCAAGTATCAGCAGCTTTAAATGGTATATAGTCTCCTAAAAATTAAACAATTAAAAAAACCCTAACCATAGTATAGGAAAACATGGATCTTTTAAACTTTCCAAAAAGCTTAAATGTGGGATGAGTTTCATACCCCAGTGGAACCACACCATGGCTTATCATTTTGGGGGTGAGGGGCAGGTGGGAGAAATGACCCAAACAATGTATGCACATGTGAATAAATGAATTTTAAAAAAGCGAAAAAATCAGAATAAAAAAATAAATGTGGGAAGAGAGGCGAAGCATTCAAACTTCATGAATTGCAACCCATTTTCAAAATTGTAGAAACATATCCAATCATAGAAAAATAGTAAAGTGATCTAATAGCATATTCCATAGTTTCTCCAAGGGATAGTTGATGATAGAGAAAGTCTTACAATTTTGTTTTAGGTGAAAAAGTTTAACTCAGTAATATTGTTAATTATAATGACTAATGTTTATTTTCACATTAGTGTGCCAGTCCAATGCTGTGTGCTGATACGTACTTTTCACATAATTCTGCAATAATTCTTTGAAGTAATTACAATTATCATCCCATTTTACAGTTAAGAACATAAGTAACTTATTTAAGATCCCAAAAGGAACTGGTAATAAATCTGGATTGAAGCTCACAAGTTTAACAGCAGAGCCTGGATACTCAAATGTAATGCATTGTAATTCAGAGGTGCCTGAGCTGCCGGGTTCTCCTGGTCAGAATAACCTTCTCTGCAGTGTTCAAATAATGAATGCTGTCCCCTCATCCAGCTTCATTTTTCTCCATAGGTCTGATTACCACCTGACATTGTATAATATAACAATACTTTTTCTTTTCTAACACCATTTCCATGGCATCTTTTCTTCCTTAAAAAAAATTTATTTTTGTTTCTATACCACTGGAATGTAAAACTTGTAAAGTCACAAACTTTGTCTGACTTACTAAACTCCAATGTCTAGAACAAGCTGACACCTAAGAGGCACTGAAAACAATTGCTAAAAAATGGGCTGGCGGAGAGGCTCAAGTAGTAAGAGTAACTGCCTTGCAAGTGTGAGGCCCTGAGTTCAAACCCCAGTGCTGCCAAAGGAAAATAAAAATTGCTGAAAAAAATAATGAGCTTTAAAAAGAAGCAGAAGTATAGAAAATAAAAGAGAGACCCATGCAGCTGGGGAAGTTCCCTCAGCTATGCTTGGTGGGTTGATCTGGGAAAGAAGCCTCCTACAGTTTTCCTGGGAGGAAGAGGAGGAACAATGTGACCTAGCAGTGAAGCCAAAGGGGTCTTTGGGTGCTTGAATCTAGACCTTAGAGGGTTCCTGTCCTTTCCTTAACATTGTGACTCTGCACCTCCTCTTCCTGCCACCTCCACCTTTTTGAAATCTCTCTTTCTCAGAATAGACCATAAACTTAAATTGATATGTGTTGCAAAATCACATTACCAAGCCTACCAATATCTCCAAAAATATATGGCGTCCAGATGGTGCCTGTTACAAATGCTGGTTGAACATTACTGACAAAATTAGATATTTCTTGATCCAAACTAAATGAATTTAAAGTTTTATGCTTATTTCTTCCAAATATCCAATTCAGAAGAGACTTTCTCATTTGTGTGATCACCACTTGATTTTATTTTCCTACCAGTGAGAGAGGACTGTGGTATTATCAATATACAGTATTCATCACTAATTATCTAAGTCTTGCTTTGTTTTGTTTTGAACCAATCCTTTCCAAATTGCAGTTGAAGCCTAGATGGCTACCCCCCTCATTCCGGCAAGTAGCTTTAACATTTCTATTTTTAACACTCTTTTGCCTGGAGACCTACAGGACTCTTAAGTAAGTAACTATGCCTTTTTTCTAAGAGTTTAAAAAATCTTTCGATAATGGTGAACGTTGGTTCTGGAAAACTGAGTTTGCATATTGTGCTAGCTACTAATTAACGTGCTCTTTCTTTCATAGGTTTCAAGAAAGAGAAGTCTGAAAAAGAACCTAGTTCCACAAATAAATCTGGCTTCTTCCTTCTTCCCAGCCATGATGCCAAGTAAATAGGGAATTCAGAACTGGCTGCTGTGCTGCACATAGAATAGAAGGTGTGGATGAGCATGAGTGTCCACCGACTGTCACCCATCTCAGGACCTTCAGGTCATCCTACTGATGGAGAAGGTTGCTTAAGAAGTTCTGGTGACCTCAACTTTTGGAACAAGCAAGCAGCAGCTGCAGCCAGTGGGCTACCTTCTTTCACACATGGAAATCCACTTAACCAAAAAGCATTGTTTCTTGATTATCGTCAACAAAATGACACAGGAAACAAATGAAATCAATAGCTTAAGTAGATCTAACATCATATGGTTACCAACGCTTAGCCTTTGTTATGCTCTCCTATTGTTCACCTAGTCCATAACCAGAATTGATAGAATGTGTTCAGTAAGAGGCAAATCAACTGTGTGTTATGCTGTGTGGTATACAAAAAGCATTATTATTAAAAAGAAAGCATGTCAGTCAGTCTTCTTGTTACTTGTCTACTTCATTTAGGGAAATGTCATCTGGGAGAAAATATTCAGTTTCTTGAAGTCAGAAATTATTTATATTTAATTTAGAAGAGTCCAGAAAAATAGAACTTAAATGGTACCTGAAGTTTCTGGGGCTCATCTTTTCTCTTTCTTTCTGTCTTGCTTGCTTTCTCTCTCTCTTTCATTATTTTGACATTTTCTTAATTAGTCTAGGATTCAATTTGGTATTTTTGGCCAAATAATCAATATCTTTCATGGGCATGCATGTAAAAAATGAAAGCATCTAAACTTGATCAATAATGAGTTCAATTTTAACATGTCAAAAGCATGCATCTAGTCTCAGGATTGAGGTTAGCTGCCCTGGGCCCCTTCAGGAAGTGATTCTGAGTATTTGATGTGTTTCCAGCTTAGCAGTCTACTTTCCGTAAAGCACTAGGCCACTTGGAAAGAAAAAAATGTGATCTCTTCTAAATTCTGAGCTCCCATTCTGTGAAGGGTTTTATTATTCTTAAAATCCCAGCATGCTTGAGGAACTAAAAAAAATGTTATTCATGTAAATTCCGCATTTATATGCATTCCATTCACAGTCATGTGCTGATTTTTATTACTAACAGGAATGTGATGTTTTCTTTTACTGTTTTTATCTTCTAGCTTTTTTCTTTATTTTAATTACCCAAGAAACTAACATTCCAAGAGAAAATGTTGATCATTAGCATTTTAAAATTTAAAACAGTATGTATAATCTACTCAAATAAAAGAAGAAACTCTAGGAAAAGAGAATGTAGTTATGGAACATCAAATGCCTGTTAAATATGCCAGAAAATTTTTTACTTAAAACAATTCTAAAAAGAAACTTTTGAGGAATTTATGAAAATGATTTTGTTAGGCCTCAACTTGACATCATTAATGCCATCTTAAACCCTGCTTGACCCTAGAGGTGTTTGGCTCCAGTAGAGATGCCCTCCTACCACTCCCCACCCAGTGAAACATTCTGTTTCCTAGCAGAGCACAAGACCTAGTTCCTTGACTACCTCTAGCGGCAGCCTATGCCATTGGTCTGTGACTGAAATGCCCTGTTTCCCAGCACCTGTACAAGAACACAAGACCCAGTTCATTGACTACCCCCAGCAATGGACAAGCCACAATGAAAAAAAATTCCCCCACCCTTTTCCAGGTCCTTCCTCTCCTATAAATCCCCCAGTCTGTAAGCTGCAGTGGGCTCTAGCATCTGCTGGAGAACCCCTCTGCAGGTTCCTTCTTCTGCACAAACCTGTGCTGACATTGAGCCTTCTCCTTGTCTCTCTCTTTGTGCTTTTGCAGTCTAACAAATTCCATTCTCCATTTTTCAATCTCCATGGTTAAAAAGGCCACTTCATTTGTAGGCATAGATTTCCCAAAACAAGCAATGTTGAGTACCCTGCCAAGCACAAAATCCCTTTAATATGGCATTCAAGACCCTAAACTGACATCTTCCACCCTTTTTGCTAAAGGAACTCACTATCAAGCCTATTATACTAGAAATCTACAATTTTTTGACCCACTTAGGATTTACCTAATAACTCAGCATTTTTGTATGTTATAAAGGATTTGTATCAACCTCCTGTGAAGAATGACATTCTATGGCTGGGGTGTAACTCAGAGGTAAAGTGCATGCCTAGCACATGCAAGGCCCTGGGTTCCCCCTAGTACCTCAAAAAAAAAAGATAGTCTACATACTTATGATATAATATACAGAACAATTTTGTGTTTTCCTCCATCCATGAAATGGCAGACTGATTAACCATTTTAAAAAAGGTATGATTTGTTGACATTAAATTATGAATATCTTAATACTTCTGTCCCATGGGGCTTTAACTCAATGGTTGTGCCCCCTGTTTGAAGTGATCTACTCGGTGCTAGAACCAGCTCTGTGCTTCCCTCAGCCCTGTATCTGAAAGTTCTGCGGCTGGGTAATGGATTCTTATGTTATTATCTTATCTAACCACCTGCAGTGACACTCTCTGCATCTCTCCCACTGCCTTCCCTAAGGCTCCTTTAACACCTGACACTGGATTGCAGTCACTTTAACCCTTTCTTAGCCATTCTCTAAACTATTCATCATTGTGTGAAAGGTGGCGTGTGATCTGAGAGTTAATATTGGTAATTAAGATTGGAATTAAGGAATCTGTGTTTGCCAATACCCACAAGTACCAAGCAAAATCAGGAGTAGTTGGTAAATTAAAACCAACAAAATTGATGTGGCGTGTGAATTTATCACTCTGCAATAAATTCTGGCATTGTTGAAAGACTCAAACATGTCCATCTATGTTTCTGACATAGCTCACTCATAACTGTGAAAACACAAGAGTTAGAATTTCAGCAGAAAATTAGAATTTGCTGATGAGAACAGAACTAAGTGGAAATTCTATACCAACAAAAATTTTCAGCAAAATATAAAGGATATAACACTAGAGTAGTTCAATTAAAGAGAAAATTAGTGAACTGAAAAACAAGTTAGAAGGAATTATTGTAATGACTCATTAGAATATGAAAAACAGAAAAGAGAGGAGGAAAAAAAGATGATAGAGTAAAAGTAATGAGCTTCAGAAGGAAAGAGTAGGATAATAGCAATACACCAATTTCTTTCAAAACCTAAGAATAGCCAGATTCAGGAAGTGTCATTTGCTTTAGGTAGGATAAATAAATCTTAGTAAAAATAAATGCAAATCTACATGCTTCATATTAAAGTTATAGGAAATAGTAAAGAAAGGAAGTTATGGAAGCAATAGAATGAAATAAAGTGCAAATTGTCTTCATAAGTAATCTGAGGAGACTGCCTTTAGCCAGCTTCTCCACAGAATGAAAAGGAAGAGGACCAGGAAATAAAGAATAATATCCTCAAATTCTTGAAATAAATGCCAGAACCTCCAATCAAGAGAAAAATATCATTTAGGAGGGACAGCCAAATGCCAAATAAGATTTTTTTGGGGGCGGGGGGGCAAGACTAGAGTTTGAACCAGAATTTCACACTTGCAAATCAGGTGCTCCACCATGTGAGCCACACCCCCAATCCATTTTGCTCTGGTTATTTTGGAGATGGTATCTCACAAACTATTTGCCTGGACTGGCCTCAAATTACAATCCTCCTGATCTCAGCCTCCCAAGTAACTAAGATTAAGGCATGAGCCACCAGCACCTGGCCCAAATAAGATATATATGAAAATTAAAAGAAAAAGTTTTATCAGAATGGATCAAGTAAAGCAAAACCCAACTAAATACTGTTACAAGAAATATGTCTAATATATAAGGACACCAAATTGTTGAAGAAAAATATGGGGAAAGTGTATTATACAAAACTTAACCAAAAGAAAGGTGACATCTCATATTAATATCACAATACACATTAAGAAAATAAAGGGAGCAAGAAGGTTGGGTATGGTGGAGCATGCCTGCAATCTCAGCACTCAGAAAGTGCAGCATAAGAATTGTGAGTTTGAAGTCAGCCAAGGCCATATAGTGAGACCCTATCTCAAAATAAATAAAAATAAATTAAAAGACAAATGCCAATGTCAGTGATGTGGAGCAACAGCAATTCTTATCCATATCTGGTGAAAGTATAAATTGATTTAAGCATTTTGGAAAACAATTTGGCATTACCTACTAACATTGAACCAATGCACAGTCCATGGCCCAGCTGCTCCAATCTTGGTCTGTGTATCTCACAGAATATGCACGGCATACCAAAAGATTGTTCATGGCAGATGACTCACAATAGCCCAGATCTGGAAATAACTCAAATGCCCATTATTAGTGGAAAACATAAAATAAATAAATCTGAGTATACACAAATCCACTGAAAATGGATAAACAACAATTATGACCAAAACATGGATGGATCATGTTTTGTAGAGGTCAGATATGAATTAGCAAAATGTAAAGGATTCCACTTATATAAATTAATATATATGATTAAAGTGTTTTAGGAATGAATAATTATGGGTTTATAATGAAAAATAAACACAAGTAAGTGGTTGCTGTAAGAATTGGGTTAGTGATTACCTTTTCAGCAGAAGAGTAGTTAATTCAGCGAAAGTAGTAGATTTGTACTATGCCAACTAAGCTTTGCTGTAACCACATTGTGCAGAATTTTCTTCTCCATAATTCTGGTCAGTATAGGATACTGGAACATGGCACGATACAGAAGACAGAATTGAAGCAGCAGCCATGTATTTTTATACACAAAAGGTGGATATGGGGTACCAGCTACTGTTGCATTTAGTGTCCATTTCTCTGAGCTCCTGGCTTACCTGGGTATAGGGTAACCTCTATTCCTATAACCACGCCAGACCTTTAGCTTCTCTGATCCCTGGGTCACATGGTGTGTCCTGCTGATTTCAAATCTAGCATGAGACCTAGAAGCAGCAGTTGTGTGTCAACTGCTTGCTAAGCTCTCAAAGTTGCACAAAGTCAACCCCTGCGACACAGCCCATCTTCTCCTGCAGTCCTCCACTGCTTCCTCTGACAGAAACTCTGGCTCACACACAAAGGCTGT